CCCCAACCGAACGTCCTACCCAACTCAACAAACCTTTAACAAAGAATACAGAAGGATCCCACCCTTCACCCTGTAGGAAACCTGACCTGATGCAAGTTGGACACCAAGTCATGCACTGATAAATCGCATCTGAGATAGTGATATCTAACCCAAAGTGCAATCCTGGCCTTCACAAGATCAGAAAGCTCATCCAACTTAGGCCGTGATCTCGAAAATACACAATTATTTCTGCATTTGCAAATAGACCGCATCAAAGCCATTGGAATCGATTTCAATATGGACCCTTCCATCTTTTTAAACTTGAACCTAGCCCACTAGTCAAGAAGCCCTCAACTGTCCCAGGAATAACCCATTGGAGAACCCACCAATCCACCAAACTTGACCACACCTTCTAAACTACTGCGCACAACAATAAGACATGGTTAATAGACTTAATTTTAGAGTTGTAGAACCTGCACAGAGCTGAAAGGCTACTGTTGAGAACTCCCAACCTTTGAAGATAGTCCACTGTCTTGACCTGCCTTTCCACGCCAACCACCTAAATAATTTCACTTTAGGGGGGTAAAGATTATTCCAGATCAAGGAGGGCACCACATATGAGAAACCCACTACATTTATATTATAGAGGGAAGCAACAGTAAACTCTCCAGAAGGAGATGCTGCCCAACTTAAGCTATCATTCGCTTCGGACAATGTCAAGTTGACTAAACATAACAAGGTGCATATCCTACCAAGCTCCACTGCCTTCCAAGCTCTAAAAGCTCTTCTAAAAATAAACCCCCATTCCTTCGAAGGACCTTTTCTTACCACAACAACATGCAATAAGACCTTCTTCTCGACTGACAGTGAGTAAAGTCTTGGGAACTCAGATTTCAAGCTTTTGTTACCAACCCAAAAATCATCCCAAAAACAGATTCTAGACCCATTCTTTGCAACAACCATACTTTTGATAGATAAAAAGACCCCAGATCTGGATTGCATGTGGCCACCGAGAGAATGTCACCCCACACTCCTGAAACTTTGCTTAAATCATCCATAAAGGCAACCATCTCTCCCCAGTAGATGCATACTTAGAGCAAACAACCTTTTTCCACAAGGCCTTGTCCTCCTTTCCGAATCTTTACCACTGCTTTGCTAATAAGCAAGTATTGAACTCTCGAATGTCCTTAATGCCCAAACCTCCTTGGTTCTTACCTTTTGTAATATCTCCCCATTTCACCATATGTAACTTTCTCTTTAACTCTATTTCACCCCATAAAAAAGTCGCTTGCACTCTATCAATAGACTTAGGGTTGGTTTGGCAAATTTCAAAAAAGTCAAAAAGTCAAAAAGTCACTATTCTATTTAAGTTATATCATCTTATTTAAATCACATCACCTTTCTAACATATCACTTCAAACCCAACCCAAATCCAACCCATATTTCATAAAAAATCAAAAAGTGCACTTATTTAAATCATGCCAAACAACCCCTTAGCTACCCATTCAAGTAATTAAACAAGAAGAGATGGTACACCGATAAACTATTTAGGACTGAGTTAATCAATGTAACTCTATCCCCATATGACAGAAATTTCCTTTTCCACGAAGCTAACTTAAGCTTTAACTTATCCAGCAATGGCTTCCAAATAGACCGCCTTTGAGGACTTGCCTCCAGAGGAAGCCCTAAATAAATAAAAGGGAGTTTTTTGACTTTTACACCTAAGAAGCTCAGTAAAATCAGCCACAACCCACATGACACATGCTGCTTTTGTGCAAGTTTGTTTTAAGCCCAAACATTTACTCAAAACACTGAAGGATTCTTTTAATAGTTAGAATCTGACCCGTTCAGCTTCGTAGACTATGATCGTGTCATCCGCAAACTATAAGTGTGTTACAACTTCATTGCCACCACCAACCTTCACACTACTAATTAGGCCCAAGTTCCGGGCTCTTACCATCAAGATATTTAATGCGTTAGCCACAATATTGAACAGAAAAGGGGACAATGGATCATCCTGTCTAAGGCTTTTTTTAGGGCAAAACTTCTTTGTTGGCGACCCATTAACCAAAACTGAAACCTTTGCTGAAGATATACACTCCTTCACCCATTTTATGATCCAAGCTCCAAAACCAAACCCTTCCATCATATGTAGCAAAAAATCTCAATTTACTGAGTCATATGCCTTTTGAAAATCAAGTTTTAGTATCACCCATTTCTTATGATTCTTCTTCCACTAGTCTACGACTTTGTTGGCAATCAAAACCCCATCCAAAATATTCTTTCCCTTTAAGAATGTAGATTGTACATTGTTAATCACCCTCGATAGGGCTTTCTTCACTTTATTTTCTAACACCTTAGCAAGTATTTTGTACATAGACCCAATCAAACTTATTAGTCGATAATCTGCCAAGGAAACAGGACAATCCTTCTTAGGGATAAGAGCACTGAAGGAGCTAATGATGCCTTTGTATAGCTTACCATGTCTATGAAACTCTTGGAAGAACTGCAGCATTAATGGCTTGAAGATCTTCCAACACTTCTGGAAGCAAGACATATTAAAATCGTTAGGGCCCGAGGCTTTATTGCCATCGCACTCCTTTATTGCCATCCAGATTTTGTTCTAGAGAAAGCCTCTTCCAGTCTTGTAGTAACCTCATCCGTCCCAATAGAACTAAATGGCCCATCCGACTTAGGCCTTACCTTCTAGTCATCAACAAACAAGTTAGAAAAGGACTTGGTAGTTTTCCTTTTAATCCTACCCAAATCGTCACATTGGGTTCCATCCATTGTTAAAGAATTCAATAAGTTCTTGTTCTGCCTGCTCGTTGCCATAATATGAAAAAGCTTGGTATTTCGATCATCCTACAAAGCCTATGACATTTTGAATTTTTGAAGCCACATCTATTCATTTCTTTTGCTTCACTTCCACACCTCACCTCTTAGCGATCTTGATCTGGCTACTTTATTGTCATCCAAATCTCGCGATTCAGCACGTAGCTCAAGCGAATATAGCTCTTTTTCAACTTCTTTTAGCTTATGCTTGACATTTCCAAATACCTCAATATCCCATTCCTTAAACTTAGCTTAAGTGCTTTCAACTAGGAATGAAAGACAAACCTAACCCATCCAGATACAATAGTTTCCTTCTAGGATTTCTTCACTGTTGGGAGAAATTGATGATGCAAGGTCCAAGCATTAATAAACTTGAATGGTCTTGGCCCCCAATTTCTATCATCTTCTATTAACATGATTAGACAATGATCGGATACAACTCGTGGCAAACCCTACACTTTAAGCTAAAACATTCCCAACCATTCCAGATTGATGAGAAACCTATCAATTCGGCTCCATTTGTCCCCTTCTGCAGTATTACACCATGCAAAGCTTCTTCCCAACATAGCCAGATCAGAAACTTCCATAGACTCAATGAAACGATTAAAATCTCCCATCCCTCTATCCCTTCTTGAGTTCTCTTTTATTTTTCCAAGATTGCTTATTGTAACAATCTCGACCCATGATTAATGTTAATCCATACTTAATTATGTCTAATAAGAGATTAAAGTGAAGTTTTGCATCACATGTTGCCTTATATGTGTTTCTATTTGTTTAGTATGGGAAAATCTGTTCATAATTCTATTTTGATTTGCGAATTGAAAGCCTTAACGGTATCCGATTCATAAATTGATTTCGGTTACGTGTTATTTAGAATTTTTAAAAATTTATGGTAGGTTCAATCGAAATTCGAGTCAGAATGATTTAATTAGATTAACTTAATGTCCACTTATTTGGCCTTAATTAATTACACTTTTACCTAAGCCTACATAGGGCTTATACACCCCACTTGAGTTTCTTTTTGATATCATCCTTAAGCCACCAAGAGTTACAATGTGAGAGAGAGGAAAAAAGAGACCAAGAGTGAGATTGGATGTCAACACTTGAGATTGAGAGGATCTTGCTAGAGATTGAAGGCATTGGGATTGGAAACTCAAGAATTTAACTCCTAGCACACATTTTGGGAAGTCTAGGTAACAATTCAACCCCTAGAGTGTACAATTATGATGTATAGGACTTGACCTCTAATGAATTAGGTTGGTTGATGCAAGAATAGAGTTAGAATTGAAGAGAATTGAGTCATTCCATACATGCATGCATATTTTCTCACATTTTGAATTAAATTTCCAAGAATTCCCTCATGCATGTCTTAAATTCACCTTAACTTTGGGAAGTCATCAAGTCTCAAGTTGTTTTGTAACATTTGATCATGTTTTGAGAAGCTTAAGGTTAAAAAAATTCATGCATGTCATGTTCATGGATCATTCATGAATTTTAAATTGAATTTTCCACAATTGGCAAGTTATTTGGCCATGATTTCTTGAAAAGATCCTTAATTCATGATGTATTATGAACTTTTAAGTGTTCCTCAAGTTTTAGCCCAGAAAAATCAAGTTTGGATGCTTAAAGTTTGAGTTTTGAGCTTTGGGAACAAATCTGGAAATCCCAGAATTCCCATCTACGCTCGAGCGTAGGAATCCACGCTCAAGCTACCACTTTGAGTGCGTGCACTTCCGCTCGAGCGACTTGAAGTACGCTCGAGCTTGAAATGCAAGCCCTCAGAAGGTCTTGTGTTTTGCAGCACGCTCAAGCGACAAGAGTCACGCTCGAGTGAGGGTTTGAGTCTCACGCTCGAGCGAGAATCGAGTGTGAAAAACAAGCAACTAGTACTTTTTCAAAGTTTACAAACCGCTCGAGCGAAGGAAGTTACGCTCGAGTGAACCCTCACATTTTGCATGTCCGCTCGAGCGAGGAAATCCACGCTCGAGCGTAGACCCTGTTTTCAGCAAGTTTTGAAAGATGTTTTCAAGTGCAATTTTGCATTCTCATTTCATCCCAGGCATTCCTAGGCCAAGATTAAGTCACCATAATGAGGATAAAGGGTAGAAACACGCTAAGAACAAATAAAATAAGTTGTGTATAATCCAAACGTGTGTTTCAATGTATGTATCTGTCATGCTGTGTAGGTCACGTGCCACAAGGAAGCTAAATTGCCTACTCTATTTGTTTACTTGGAGCATCTATTATCCGTGAGTAATAACTTTTTTTTTTTTTTGATCAACAAAAAGAAATCTTTATTGATGAAACAAACATAGTATGAAATATTACATCAATAAGGGGAGCTTGGAGCTAAACAGAAGCTCCCAGCGCCAGTTGGTGAGGAACCAACAACAGAAAGCAAGAAAAAAGACAAACAGATAGAGAGCTAGACTATGTCTTCGAACTAAGAGACCAAACAAGTGACTAACCAGCAAGGAAGCAGAATTCAACCAGCAGGCCAAATCCCAAACAGTTTAGCCCAAAAACCACCTTACTACCTCCTGATCTGTACAATAAAGCATCATTTCCATAAATAAATAGTCCTCTATAGCAGACCAAAAACCTCCCACACTACCCATCAAATCCCAACACTACACACCTGCAACCTACAACACAGCAACAGAACAGCATAAAGCAGAACAACATACACCAATCCACAGCAACATAGCAAAACAGCAGTACAGTATAGCTTAACAGCACACAATCTGAGTAATACACCATACCAGCCCAGCATACAGCATACACCCAAGCAGCAAAATAGCAAAACAGTAGTATACCAAGCAGCAAAATAGCAAAACACCAGTACAACATGCACTAATCCTCAAAGCATAACAGCATACAATCTGGGTAATACACCATACCAGCCCAGCAAACCTCTCAAGTCCCACCAGAAAACAGTAGTGCAGCATACACCCAGCAACAAAGCCTAACAGCACACCACAGATTAGTACACCAAACCAACACACCCTCCCAAGCACTCCCTCACTTGCCTCAGATTAAGCACAAAATCCTGAACTGAAAAATTAAACTCACTGAAAGCTGGCTTTAACCAAAATGCAATCCTATATTTAATTAAGTCACAAAAGTCCTCCACATTTGGAATAGTTTTTCTGAATACACACTCATTTCTGCACTTCCACACAGACCACATCACAGCCAATGGAATCACCCTCCAGATCTTCTTTTCTTTCTTCTTTAACTTCTCCCCTGCCCACCACAGCAGTAAACACTCCACAGATCCTGGAATAGCAGTTTGGATATCCCACCAACCCAACATTTCAGCCCAAACCCTCCACACAAAAGGACACCAAATTAAGACATGAGTCACTGGTTCAGTATCACTGCCACAAAACACGCAAGCAATGGAAGCACTAGAGTTGATCACCCCCAGTTTTTGCAAAAATTCCTTAGACTTAAGTCTTTAACTTAGTAAAGCTATGTTTAGGTAAATTATTTTCTGTATATGGAATGAGATCTGTTCGATGAAATGCCATGTTCTATACTATGAATGATTGTCCAACTCTAACAAGCATTTGTGACATTATGCTATGATTCAAGTATGTTGCAAGTTCCCGGTACCGCAGGTTCCTTATGGAACTAACAAGCTATTTATACCCGGCTGGAGGTTTCTAGGTGGAACTGACAAGTTATCTGTTCTCAGTCCGGAGGTTTCTTTATGGAACTGACAAGTTGTCCTTACCCGGTAGGAGGTTCTTCTATAGAACTGACAAGTATGATTTATGATACTCTGTATATAATCTATTAGCGCTAACGGATGCACTATGTAAGATTAAGCATGAACTCTAATTTATATATATATATATATATATATGCGCGGAATGAGAATACGAACGTAAACTTTGGTTTCAGAAATGGTTATGGAACATCATTCATTTACCATTTTACTCTGTTATTATTCACTGGGCCTTCGCTCACTAGTTATTTATTATGTATGTGGGTGTACAGACTCATGATCAGGCTTAAGATGATGCTTGAAGCATTTTTGTATTTGTCAGCCACCTTTTGCACCTCACGAGGAGGTTCCAGATCAAGTCAAGTCTTGTGGCTGTGTTATTATGGATGTATAAGACTGTTCCTTTTACTCCATGGACAAGTTTTTCTTTTATATGTACATGAAGTGACGTGTAAATAATGCATCTTTTGACGTCACTCGTATGTCTATAAAAGTTTGAGATTATTAGTCCCATGTATGTCCGCACAGCTCGATGGACTATATATGTTTCTTTTTATGTATTTACTTCCGCAACCCCTAATTATAAGTCTAATTGTTAAGAGGCCTTCGGTAATCCAAGGATTACTGGCCGGTTACAACGCTGAACTTATATGGGCGGGTTTGGGTCGTGACACTTATTTAGTTAAAATCACCTCGTAAATACCATGGGCTCTCAAAAACAGATCTCAGTCTAATAATTGTGTCACATAAGCACCCCATTCGCGATACATCAGTGGGCGCATAAACATTCATTAAGACACAATTGAAAGAAGGAGAGTACCTGAAAGCAATATAAAATTTCTGTTGCTGCAGCAATTAGTCATCATGAAGATAGCTGGATTCCAAATACAAACCATTCTGTTGGGTCGGTGAACCCTAATAAATACTGTTCATTCAACCCTACTGTTCACTCATACACTGGGTTCAATGGGGGGTTTGGGACGTCTCTCCCCAAGGGAGAGGGGGTCTAGAGAGGGGGCGCCTCTTTTAGGTTAAGAGAGTTGTAGTTTTTTTGATCATAGTGAAAACTGTAGCAGCTGTGGGTGTAGCTTTATTCTGGAGTGAACCACATTAATCCTTGTGTTCTTGTGTGTGTGATTTGTTTGATTCGTTTTTTATTCCTTGTTTGTTGTTTCGTGTTTCACCGATCTTGGTTAGGACGGGTCAATTCCTAACACATTCCACTTGCAAGGCCATCATGATCAACTACCATAAGATCCATCTCTCCCTGGCCAAACCAAATTGATCGGATGAAGTCCCCAGAAACCCCAAATTTCTTTGTCTCTTGAAAGAAAGCTACATCCACTCTTGTCAAATAGTACAGATTTAATCTTTCTCCACTTCCTAGCTTTTCCAAACCCTCTAATATTCCATGATAGAATCTTTATATGGACACTAAACTAAGCACATGAGCCTCCTAATCGTGAATTTCAGGGGTGGGCCACCCCCTCCACGACCTGCAGTAACCTCCGCATCCTTCATTTCCAGCTTTATACATTTAGCTAGCACTTCTGATTCGAATCCCTTATAGTTAAGTCCAAGAGATTTCCCTATATGGACTGTTGCCTTTACCGCATTCAACATCAATCGCTCTCTTTGAGTACCAGTCGATGAAGACGATGACAATGCCACCATAGCTGCTCGACACCAAGCTACCCTATGCCAACTCCCTACTGGTAGTGCCCCACATTTCCTTGTAACTTTTGGCCCCTTCGCCATCCTTCTAACAAGCACTGTTTCTGTCTTTGACATTTGCCTCCTAGCTTTGCACCTTCTTCCTCCATTTTGCATTGCAAAAATACATGTTCTCTAATCATCAAACTGCAATAAACCATCAAGACTTCCAAGATCATAGTAGCTTTGATACAACTTTGTTGGAAATTTGTGACAAGATCTAATACTAGGGAGGAAGTGGAAAGGAAAAAACATATAACCTGTTCATTTCACTTTTCGATCATACTACATCATGGCTAGAGTACATAAGTATTTATAGGTTTACAAAAACATGTTTGTAGCTAAGTACATTTATCATACATTTAATGTTATCACAACCCTTTCATTCACTTACATGAACTTCACAAAACTCTTTAGTTAAATGTTTTTAGAATTAACACTTCATTATCTAAAATACAGTTCAATTTCCAACAAAAAATTCATGTTTAAACTTCCCTACAATACGGCTCAATCCTTTTAATGATTCTGTAAGTGATTTGTTTTATGTATGAACAAAATGATGTAGCTTGTTGTTCTCCGTTTGCTCTCTCTCTCTCTCTCTCTCTCTCTCTCTCTCTTGTTTATTTTTTGGTGAAGTGTTCAAATTTCATATTGTATGCAAAATAGCCCATTGTGGAAAAGAATAATATTTTCTATAACTAAAATCTAGAGAAAATTTTCCATATCAAGATTGTTAACTAAAAGGTAAAGAGTAGCTATTAATAGGCTGTTAGTTGCAATTCACAAAAGTATAATTTTTTATCTGATATAAATTGTGGTCATTTAAGTTTCTTTTTGTGTAGTAGGATTCAATAAATCATGTAATGAATTAAATTAGGTTTCTTCATTAGTTACAAAATAATTTATATAAAAAATACTCAATGAAAAAGAAAAGAGGTAATTACAAAAAAAACTCAAGTTTCACCCTAAACTTTGAGTTTTTAATTTTGCCAATTTAAACCTTAATATTTTAATTTGTTTGTAATCTAAACCATTTACCTATTTCCGTTAAGTAAAACTGAAGAAAAAATGGTATTTTAATTATTAAATTCAATGTAGGTATATATAAAATATCTAAAATACCTTTTTTTCATTGAGTTTAATGACTAAAATGCTTCTTTTTTCATTGGTTTTATTTAGTGGAAATAGACAAATAGTTTAAACTGAAAATAAATTAAAATATTAGGGTTTAAATTAATAAAATTAAAAACTCAGGGTTTATTTTGTTAAAAAGTTAAATCCTGTAGTTGTTTTTTTTTATTTTATTTTTATTTTTTGTTTTTGTAACTTCTCCAAAAGAAAACTATTATGTGGGAGCATGAAATTGCTTCTTCTATACACTCATGACTATAGTGCCCATAGTGATTCGACTTGTAGCATTGCACCTCTTTTGTGCACTCACCACTGTAGTGATCGTACTTGTTGCAATTATAGCATTGCACATAGCTTTTGTCACGACCTCTTCCTCTGTCGTCAACCCACTATTGACAACTTCCTTTCAAAGCAACCATCTGTGGTCTTCTCCTATCAAGCAACCGTAGACTTCTATCTCTCGAAACAACCACTTATTGTTCTCTATTGTCAACCATTTGTTGACCTCTTTTATTTTGCAAAACAACTATCTGTTGTCTGTCTTGAGGAATAACCACCTGTTGTCCTCTATTGTCAACCACAGAAAGGTGGAGGAAGTGGCTGTGGACAAGGTAGAAGAGGTCCCAACGTAGGGATCCCTTAATACTTGGAGTCGAATTCTCATGGTTTTCT